CTTGGAAAAAATTATATTAAGTGAAGTAAGCCAGGCCCAAAGAAACATAGGTCCCATGGTTTCCCTTATTTGCAATATCTAGTATATCTATGAGTCAAGCAGAAAAGGTCAGATAATGTGATGTCAGGAAAATGAACCCTTAGATATGTATTTTAATGTTTTTTTCTTTCATGCATGTGTTTCTAATGCACTTATAAGATTATCTCTTTGTTGCTTTGTATGTCCCTCCCCCACAGTATAACCCCTGCTTTCACTATATTTGATGTCAGTATAACTTGAGGAGGAGATGGGGAAAAACCAGTTGTTTAAGGATACAGGTGGACCTGTTGCAACAATGAGAAGTACAAGTTGTCATGTCCAAAACGAGCTTTACAAAAGGGGGAGAAGGGGGGGGGAAGGAGAAGGATTGGGATTGGCGGGGAGGGGGGAGGCTGGGAAGGGATGTGAAGGGTAAACAAAGGAGGAGGCTGCAATGCTTGGTAAGAAATGTACGCATTATCCTGCCCATGTAATTGAAACCCCTCTGTACAGTATCTTCACAAATAAAATAATATTAAAAAAATGATGTTTTGTGTTACCTTTAAGACTGAAATGATTGATGCTGCAAATCATATTGAAAGCAATTCATTAAAATCTATATAAAAATAATAAATTTATTTAAATAAGTAATTCTTGTTGTCATACTTCTAGTAATAAAACTTTCCTAATCAACAAAATATTTTGCAACACAGTGACTATTGCCCAAATTAAAATTTAGCTACAGATGTTGGAGCATGAAAATTAATTTCCAAGAAAATTAATTGAAAGAAGGTATTGTCTCTTCTATTATAATGATCAAAATTTTAGTGAGTCATGTACAGAGGATACAGATAACATATTCGAGGATGACAGAAAATTAAGCAAAAGAATGAGTGCAGCAATTTGAATATTCCCATATATAATGAGATCCAAAGTACAGGTCCAGCGATATGTGGAGTCCAAAGACATCTAAGTGATTATTTATGTCAAATGTGGGCCACTTGGGACTTTCAAAATCCTATATTGTTTTAATGAATTATTTTAAACTGGTTATTATATATTTTATTCATATCCATTAGGTTATTTTTTCTCTTTTGCAAGATTCTTCTTAATATGAATCTAGCAAGATTTTTCTTCCTATTTAAATTAATAAGGCCTTCAAAAATAATCATAAACTAGAACATAATCTCAAATGCCATTAAGTTTTGTGACTAATAGTTACATTTTGAAGCCCCTACAAAAACAACAAGACTACATAAGTGTCTAGAGTTAGTACGGCATCATAATTTATTTTAAAAAGTTGAAATAATTAAACCTGACCATATGATAATTACCTGAATGATCCTGTGTTCAGGAATCATTTCTAGTACCAGTTGAACTTTCTATTTGCAATTATCATACTTGGAAATACCCTCACATTATAAGATTGTGATCAGGCCAGCCCTAAAATGCATTTTTTTCAGAAGAATCAACAATTAAGTAATCATCAGAGGATATGAAACTATTTTGCTAAGCTCTATGAACCACAGGGTTTCAGAGAAGTAAGTCAAAAAAGATGTAAAACAATTCTTGAAGGACAGGTCCTCGGGGAGGTTGAACTGGCTTTCATTTCATGTAACTCTTCTTTGTTTTGTGAGAGTTCACACTTCCTTATTCTCTTTCAGAGTTCTAGCTATCACATCCTATCGAGATGATATATTGTATGCATAAATATACATTTGAGAGATAGGTAACTCCAGGACTACTACTTATATACTTGCCACATTTTAGAACTCAATTGCTTACTTTAAAGGAGTCTGTGGAAGTGTATATGTAAGTGAGGTTATGAATTGACATCTTTCTATAATATTCAAAATCAATCAGGGCAAATAATCCCTAAAACACAGTAACCATAATAAAAGTATACCAGACATTAAACTAGCGGTCACAAGTTTGGTTTTACTTCTCTTTTGAAATTCAATCCTTCTGAATTTCCTGAAACAGTATATATCGAAATATTTGTGACAGAAAACTGAATAATACCAAAATAGGAGTATTCATAAAGCAAATAAAAATATCTGTAGATTTTACATTTAAAAATAGCTCAGCTGGCATACTGGTATATACCAGTAATTCCAGCCAAAGGGAAGCTGAATCAGGAGATGCAATTGACCCAAGAGTTCAAGGCCAAGCTGGGCAAAAGAGGTTGTTAAAACACAACAAAGCAGGCTAGGAAGGTGGCTCAGTGGTAGAGCGCTTGCCTTGCATGCATGAGGCCCTGGGTTCGATTCCTCAGCACCACATAAGCAAAAAGAAAAAAGCCAGAAGTGGCGCTGTGGCTTAAGTGGTAGAGCGCTATCCTTGAGCTGAAGAGCTGAGGGACAGCACCCAGGCCCAGAGATCAGGCCCCATGACCAGACCCCCCCAAAAAAAAAAGAAACCCACAACAAAGCATCTGTGAGGTCATCGTTGTTAAGAATATATAATTTTACTGAAAAAACAACTTGTTAAGAAATATGAATTCAAATCTAATAATTCAAAATAATTCTAAATTTTCTCATTTGCTTCCTGTAATCAGAGAATATTCCAAGTATTTGGTGTTAATTCTTAATTAACTATTACTTGAGTACCTATATAAGATGATATTCTACATTGTTATTTTAAATAGGTATTCTAAACATCATGTATTATGCTATGAGCTTTGTTAAAAATGTATCATTCTTTTCAAAGTCAAATTCAATTGCCAGGGTTATTTATAATTTTCTTGAAACCTCTTATATTATAAATATAATATAATGGTGATAATCTCAATCTAATTATAACAAGGTAATTTACCTGTGTGGAATAAAACAATACAAGAAAGTATCTGGAGTTGAAACAGGAAATTGCAAGTCCTTGAAGAAAGTGTCTCAATAACAATACCAAATCAAACAAAAACATCTTAGTGTGGTCTTCACTCAGAATAAGAAGCAAACTTTTTTATTCTAGGTTTGGAATCCCTTATCTTTTAGGAATTCTGTTCATTGTGTTTAATAGCTCCCCTTTTTCCTTCCATGTTCATGATTCTGTCTTGTATCTTTACTTTTCTGTAACAATTATAAGATGTTTTCTTAAATTTGGACATAAACTATGCTTATTTTGGGGGGGAGGGGGGAGGGTCCGATCATGGGGCCTGAACTCTGGGCCTGGGCACTGTCCCTCAGCTCTTCAGTTCAAGGCTAGCATTCTACCACTTGACCCACAGCGCCACTTCCAGCTTTTTTCTTTTTGCTTATGTGATGCTGAGGAATCGAACCCAAGTCCTCATGCATGCAACGCAAGCGTTTTAACAGTGAGCCACCTTCCCAGCCCCATGAACTATGCTTCTTACAGGGTATATGTGTTTCTTTTCCAACTAACATTTCTAATTTATTTTCCAGTACTCCACCAAGAGCTGCATGTGTACTTAATAATTTATTTGTTTCAATTTCTTCAAATGAGGCAGTAACAGGTAGTGTTATCTCAGTTATGAGTTCTCTGTCTCTTTCTCTCTACTGTGTATATGTCTTGCTTTATCTCTGTGTCTCTCTGGGTTTCTGTTTCTCTTCTTCTATCCCTGTAACAATTGTTATTCTATTTTTAAAGCCAATTTGAATACAAAATCCACACTTCTTTGTGAACTTGAGGAAAAAATAATTTGTTCTTAGAAACATATCTTCTGATTATGCCTTACCATTATATATACATGTATATGTATATATGGATGTATACACATATCTTACCATTATATATGCACATATATGCATTGTACATATACTTATGTTGTCTTATTTTCTTTCTTTTTCCCCATCTTTCCTGTTCCTCCTCCCATCCCTCCCTTTTCCTTTTTTTTTTCTGTGCTTGAAATCAAGGCCTCACACTCAACATTCTTGCTCTTGGCTAGCACAGTTGAGTCATTCCTGAAGCATGGCAGTTTGCTGGTAAATTGGAGATCGACTATCACAGAGTTTTGCTCCCAGCTGGCTTCAAATTGCAGTTATATGGGCCTCTACTTCCTCAGTAGCTAGCTTAAGCCAATGAATTTTTTTAAATTAGTGATCAGCTGGTTTTCATTTTTCTGTCTGCAGTATCTGATACTTAATACACATTCAATAAATACACAGAATTAACATCCATGAGTTAAACACTTTATATACTTACTGTGTAACTGGTTGCATTTGGTCTACTGGCCATTTACTACTTTTAAACAAGAGATTACTTATCATATTTTATTAAACATATATTGATAAAAGAGAAATGTCTTAATTTGTAGAAGTGACTGCAACTTTGGGGTGAAGCATTGAACATATTATCTCAGAGAATTTCTTTCTTCTCCCTGGAAGCCTCTTAGCTACAGATTATTTTTAATTACTCTTTAAATACATCTTCCATTCATACTTTTTCAATATTGCCTATTAACCCTTAGCATGTCTGTTTTATGTTTACTTCTTACTTATCAATTTTACAATAGATTCTTGCCCTGTAGCATAGCTAAATATAAAAATCAGTGGTTAGAGCTAGATACTGGTGGCTCACATCTGTAATCTTATCTACTTAGGAGTCTGAGATCTCAGGATTGTGATTCAAAGACAGCTCCAGCAGAAAAGATCAGAAGACTTTCATATCCAATTAATCATCAGAAAACCAGAAGTACTAGAGCTAGGTTAGTGTTCTAACACTAGTGAAAAAAAACTGGATGGCAGTACTAAGGCCCTGAGTTCAAGCCCCATGACCAAGAAAAGAAAAGAAAAGAAAAGAATCAGTGAGCAGATATAAATAACTGACAAGTTCAACAACAGCTTTTTCAGGAGGATGAATTAAAATGAGTACACAAAATAAAATCATGTTTATGAATAGAGTAGCCATTATAAGAAAAAGGAATCTATAGCCAGGAGAGATTGCGCTAAGGCTCCTTCCATATAGAAAAATGTTTAGTTATGAGTTCTACTGTACCAAGGACAGATTTGTCCTTTCCAGTCACTTACCCTCTGACAGCATGAATAAGTCTCAGTGATGGATACGCAGTGCGCACTTTCAGTTTATTCTTAAGGATTAATGCATTAACCCATTCCACGTGCTTCTCTCCTCCTTTGACCATGAAAGCAGGAATCCAAAGGACACTGTCATTCAGCATAGAAAGTCTATGCACAAATTTTTCTCTGTCACTCTCATTCCGAAAGCCTCCAAATGCTCTCTGCACAACTGATGGGTTCATGGTAATAAAATCTGATTTAGTTCCCACATCTGCAGCAAACTCCACCACAGGAGCTAGATTACACCTAAAGAGGAAACAATTAATGGACAAATGAAAAAATATGAAACAGTCCCTCATAAAACATATGTGTGAAAAGAAGAATGAAGGTTGAGCATGCTATTCTCCAACATACAAAAACATCCAAATATAATATACACAGTAAAATTATATTTTGACTATGTAACCACATGTTTAGGATATGCATATCAAATATTGGACTCAAAGTGCCATTTATATTCAAATTGTTGTCTAAGAATAATCTTTATTCTTATTTTCACAATGCTATAAGATATGAATTCATAATAAGCAAATTTACATTGGTAAATTCACAAAGGCTCAGTTGGCATGCCAAAAGCAGTCTAAACCATATGCCATTCTGTAAGTAAAACACATTGGACTTGATATTCCAATCTGCTCTGCTTGTCAAACGTAACTCTCTTCATCAACTTTACACACAGAGTCTGACTTTTCTGTACTCTGAAGTTAGAGAAAAAGATCAGTTCTTGACAGCAGTTTCCACAAACCAAATTTACAAGTGTCTGCTATTGGCCTTTATGGGGAAGAAAATCGAGATATCAGAATAAATATGACTATCTGAGAATTTTAAGGAAAGTAATAAAGTTTTTAGTATGAGATAAAAATATTGCCCTTTCTGTTTTTTACAGGGAGATCCTCAGGGTACCTATTTTTCCTATTAGGTCATCTCCATGGCTAGAAAATACATAACTAAGAAAGAACTAAAATGTGTGACACTGATCTTTCCACAGAACCACGTGGATGTATTAAAAGCCTGGACCTGATGTTATTCACATAGCTTGTTTCTACTGTTGTACTAGAAAACTTCTTTGAAAAACACCTTGTATTTTTCTGCTACTAATTTGTGATGTTCCTTTGATTCTATCACATTAATCTTTGGCTACATGACTTGAAATTGCTTTTGTAAAAACCTGTTTTAACTTGCTAAAATAAAAAAAAAGAAGCAGGTCTTAATCAGATGATAAATTTTAAAAAAGAATTTAGACAAACAAGAATTTACCATCTGAAAAATGTCAGTTTATTCAATCTACAGCTTGATGAAACATGCACACACTGAAAATACAGCTTTTAACTTTCCTTTTATCAGTACTCCAAGAGAAAGCAAATTGAATAAATTTTATATTTAGGAATTTTTGAGGTTTGGTTGTATTATAAAACTTCCTATATTTCTCTTCTTGTATATTTTGTTACATTAATTAATTCACAAACAGGTTAAATTTTAATGAAAACATCAAGGTGTGTTGTGCTATTAAAATTCTACCTGCTTAGGCTTCCTTATCTCAATTAATTAATGCTTTCTGTTATTGCCCAATTCTCTTCATTAGTTATAACAACCAATCTCATTTCATACACTTTCATCTCACATACTTAATTACCTAAAGTATATTATTAAGGAGAAAAATATTAGCAGATGATAATCTGTAAGTTAAAGTTTAATATGTATTTTTAAAAGAGTTTTGCATTTTCAATTCTACTATCTTCAAATACATCATATCTTAAGATAAAGAAAACTTGTTTTGCTACTCAAAAGCCATTCTACTGATTAAGATTAGATATTAATCTTTCCCATTACCATAGCACAATGTAGGACAGGAGAGCTTTGCAAAACCACTGCTGCACATGAACATATGTCAAAGTACACATTCTGCCACGATCTCATGAGATAGACAAGATTTGATAATATTAGAAGCACTAACATGTCAACCACACAAATATTAAGGTGAATTTGAAGTGCTAATCAAGCTGATTTAACATGAATCTAATTTCTGAGAGAAAAACAAGTATATTCTGAAGGTCTTATTATGACCTGTTCTTCACACAAAATTTGCTAGAACTTACAAACATTCAAACTGACATGCCACCCAAGGGTGTGTGTGTGTGAGAGAGAGAGAGAGAGAGAGAGAAGACAGACAGACAGACAGACAGAGACAGAGAGACAGAGACAGAGAGAGAGGAGAGAAAGCACCATACATATTTTTCTACTACAATCTTCAATAATTGCTTTTAGAATATTCTTACTGTAGGAAAACAACATTTATCCTTCATTTTCTCCATAACATGAGAACATGTGAAAGAGAGTGAAAACTACATCTGCTTGATTATCTTTTTATTTTTTCATGAATAATACGTTCTTGTTCTCTCTTTACTTAAATTTTTAACTACATATATTAATATTAAATTTCCCAAAGCTACCCCATACATTGCCAACATGTACTCTTTTAAGACCACACACACACACACACACACACATGGTCTTAAATATCAAAATTTTCTGGCATATACCTCTTTAGAAAGCCAGATGATGATCAATTTGTGTATTGAAGATGAATATTTTCCATTTTGAAAGCAAAATGAAGATTATAGAATATTTCTAGGGAGTATTGTTGGTCTAGGAAACAAACCAACATATTTGGAAGCATTGATGAATATAAAATGAGTAATCACAATCAGAGAATAATAAATTCACTTGTAGAATTGTGACAACTTGAACATGACCCCAACAGACATTACAAAGGACGGTAACTGGTAGAATGAAAACCACATGGCAAAAAGACAGAATAAAATTTATTCTGTTTTGGGGCTGGGATTTGGCTTGTCATTTTCTTTGAAGCAGTATGTAAACTTACTTACTGCAAAGAAAGAGTAATATCATGTATACATGTGGCCAGTAAATCATTGTGGATGTGCCAGATGTGTCATCATATAATTGACTGAAGGTAACATATTCAAGGGAGTAAATTAAGCCCAAATAACCAACCAGCTATGTTGCATGCAATTCAGCAGTTCAGGAATTAGGTAAACTCATGATTATTACTAGCAACAATACTGATAATAAAGCAAGAATATAAATAAGATCTCAATCACAAAATCTTAATCTTTCTAAAAATCTTCTTAGAGATTATAATATTCAGAATTAACCGAGATATATGTCAAGTATTTATGAGGCTCATGTTATTCTTAACTGTATAAAATAAGTGAGCATCCAACCTCAAAATAATGGAATTTTATGAGCCAAAACTGCTGATCACATAAGATTAGCAGATTATTGAAGAGACTTAGGCTATGTTGTCTTTCTTCAAATTCAGTTTTGGCTACCAAACTGGTTTTGACAAATCAGACATATGAAGTTGAACTTGTTACGCAAGCTTTCTATTACTGTTAAGTTCTCAGTTCTTTGTGTTGATTCTGCATTATTGACTAAACTCCTGCAGGAGTGGGGAAAGCTTGGAGTTTGTTTTTGCAGCCCTATATCACATGCAATAGCTTCAGAATTCCGTTCATATAAAATTGAATAGATTTCATTTCTCAAGGTAATAAAGTTTGTATTTCTATTAAAGTAAATTAATTGTAAAGCAGCTTTCTTTTGACATATATATACACACACAGAATATATAAAAACATATATATATATACATATATATACATGTATATATATACTTCAATTCAATTGTTATTCCTTCCTTTCCCCTTCCTCCATTATTCTGGTTCTTCCCTCAAACAATCCTGTTTTTACAATAATGTCATATTATTTCTGGAAGACTGTGGCTTTGCTTTTTTTTTTGTGGTTACACCCTCAATACTGTTAGGGAGGAGATAGAATAGGTAACCTGTAGTCTGACTTTCCTGAGGTGAAGGAGGTAGGCTCCAAATAGACTTGAAACAAAGCACTTGAGCTTGTGGTCAGGAGAAGCATTATCCACACGCAAGATGAAGAGCTATAGTCACTGTGATTAGGAAACATATCCTAAGGTTGATAGCATATAAAAGAGAAGTGAGGGGCTGGGAAGGTGGCTCAGTGGTAGAGCGCTTGCCTTGCATGCATGAGGCCCTGGGTTCGATTCCTCAGCACCACCTAAGCAAAAAGAAAAAAGCTGGAAGTGGCGCTGTGGCCCAAGTGGCAGAGCGCTAGCCTTGAGCTGAAGAGCTGAGGGACAGCGCCCAGGCCCAGAGTTCAGGCCCCATGACTGGACCCCCCCTCCCCAAAAAAAAAACAAAAAAAGAAAAGTGAAATCTAACTTTGCAATTTTAATCCAATGTTTATACATACGATGTATTTTGGAATTATGGGAAATTATGTGGAAAAAGTTTTCTAACATTGAAAGCTAGTTTTTAATTTCAAGTAGCCAAGACTTAAGCACATAATACAATAGTCACTCAGCTCTGATATTGAACAAATTCCAAGCAGTTATTAAACAAAGGATTTTAAAGATAGAGAATGTTACCTTAACATCTATGCTTCAGGTCTTTTGAGGATAAGGATTCTTTAAATGTTAGCAAAACATTAAAGAACTTCTTGATAAGACTTTGATTTGTGAATCACACGATTAAAATGGGTTTATAAATGGAATGCCAATTTGTCATAAAGAATTTATAAGAAATTAACATGAAAAATCATTATGAAGATTTGCAGTTTTAATATGGTGGATGGACACACAAAAATACAAAGACACACATCAAATGCTATGCTTGTTTCTAAGATTCAAAATGATAATATTCTCAACTTGACATAAATAAATGGAAACAACTCACATCTCGTAAAAATAATTATGTGACTAAACACAAGAGGAAATTTTTTCACAAACCCAGATTTGTTTTCATTCCAGGCAAGGGTGGGAAGAATAGTGTCATATTTCTTGGGAAATCCACAGAGTGAAAATAGAAATCACACTCATCCTAGCAGATTTGTATAATTGAGAAATTACATTAGACTGTCTTTCCCACTTTTCAATCAAAACAAAAAGGCAATTGTTCATCAAATTTACTTAAATTGTAAACATATTATGGAATCACATAGAGTTGGGCAAGGGTGATCAATAAGGCAGAATTATTTGAAAAAACTGATAAGTTGAACATGCATGTAGTATTTTCTCAACTTCTGCTTAAATATTAAAGAAATATGCTTCTTTTCTTTCTTTAGCCATCTCTGCCAGTAGCCATTTGGCACTAGCATTTCCATCACAACATGCATGACCTTAAGGAAATTAACCT